TAGGACTCCAATATTATCTCCCGGGACGACTGTGAACCTGCTCGACCTCTAGAAGAATTTTATCGTAAATAATGTTTCGCTCTCGCGAGAGATAGGGCATTCTTCTTCTTATGTGAATTCTAAATCGCGCGCGTAGCTTCTTTCACAATGGTCCTCGTCTCGACGAGCGTGCATGTCTCGATGTGATCGAAGGTTTATATTAAAATCAGAGCTTTCTCGAAAAACTTGATATTTCCCTGCTCATTAATTTGATAGGAAAAGGAAAAAGTGATCGGCCATTGTTAACTGCCGCTTACAACGTGGAAAAGTTCGCTCGCGCAAAAAACTCGCAAAAAAGCCGTTCCTATTCTTGCGAAGAAAATATAGGATTACACTTCATTATCTTGCTAAAGTGTAAAATGTACCGTCGGCTGTGCCGTCGTCGTAAGCCGATCGTTATACTTCAAGTATACGTAAATATATTCCTGTAAATATATCCTTGTCAATAGCCGTGTCCGCCATCGCGCGGGACTATAAAAATTCTTTATGCTCACGCAAATCGTTAAAATTTAAAGATCACGGGAAATTAATAAAATGTAGTTTAGAAGAATTTTTGAAAAAGATCAGTAAATTAAATTCTTTGCAGCTCTCAGTTATTCTCTCGCAGAGTTGTTCTTGCGTAGAAATCAAAGTTCAAGTTACGAGGGCAGAATCGACTTCGCAAACACACCACTTCACTTAAGTCGAAATTGTAATAATGATAACGATGATTTTGGTATTCATGTTTAATACGCGAGTCGACATTAGACACGGAATAACAGGTTTGTTAAAGATTAACGGCACAGTTAAATGAACTTGTAAACTCCGCGCCACACGCGTTTCCTTCTATGTATATTCGCGGATGGAATTGTATTAGAGACTGCAATCTGGACCGTTCCGATTGAACGCATAAAAGATCCCACACAAATCGTATGAAAAAGTGGTTTTGGTCTAATTGGCTGAAACTGTGTTATTTTGTAGATTATAAGACGATCCAAAGTTTTCTTAAGCAAAAATATAAAAATAGATAGATTTTGCTGTAATGCCATTTGAGACTCTTATAGAAATCTAATGCTAACCAATACTGAAATACAGTAATTAATTACTTATTTTAAGTACTAAAAGCACTGTTGTTTAATACTTTTAGTACTCCAAATAAATAATCCATTACTATTTCTCAGTAATAAATTGGCCAGTATTAAATTAACTAGTATTAGATTTCTGTAAGGAAAATTGCTATTTTGGGTCTAATCGGACTGAAAAGTATCATTATCTGTTAAACTATTTTTTGATAACTTATACCTTAATACTTCTATAAACAAAATAATAAGATAAATTAATTGAGGTAAAGAAAACGCATAATTGCTTTAAAAAAATGTAGTTTGCAAGTACGTATATTGGAAATTGTATATTTTGTTTAAAAGCGACTACGTATTTTCTTTACATCGATTTATCTTATTATTTTGTGCGAAAAGGGATTAAGATACAATTACCAAAAAATAAATAGTTTAACAGGTAAAGATATTTTCCTATTAGATCCAAAGTAGCAACTTTCAAATGTTGCTACAGCAAAATTTGCTTATTTTTTATGATTTTGCTTAATCCTTCGTGGAAACACAAGGGGCAAAATGACTCCAACATCTTAATTGATTGCCGTATTTATAGCTTTGTTCTTTAAAATTGCAAAAATTACTGAACATACTTTGAACATTGTAAAATATGGAAATGCAGTGGCTTTTTAAAGAATTTTTAATTTTAACATATTTAAAAAAATTGCAAAGGGTCTGACGTCCAAGGAACAACATGCGGTTGAAGGTGCAAGAAGAATATTTTAAACTTCGGATAACAGTTTAAGTCCCGTTTTAATAAAAGACCTTAGAAATATAAAGCCTCACACCTTTTTAGGGTCCTCTGGACCCCAAGTGACCACGAAGGGTTAAAGAAATGTTTAATCAGTATTTCATAATTTACAAAATATTACAGTTTTATCTAATTTAACCAAAGCAACTTTTTTCACATGATTTGTGCAACGATATAACACAACTGTTTTAGGCCAAAAGTAAAAAAGAAAGGAAGAAAAGGATATAAACCGTCTTTACTTGAAACTTTATTTACCATACGTAGAATTTGCGCTTTCGCGCGCTTGGGTTAAACTCTAGGCATATATCCATTTGTCTTTCTCGGACACCAGCGCAACATTTCGCCTCTTTGCGGTTTTATGTCTTCCCCCCCCCCCCCCCCCACCATCTCCGCCATCATCGTCGTCGTCGTCGTCGTCGTCGTCGTCGCCGTCGCACGATATCTTCGCGCGAATGTCAGCCGGCTGCAGTCGTTGTAGAGGAGAGACGCGGGAAGAGATACCCCGTTAAAATTCAGCATTTCCGCGCGATGACACATCGGAAATTTTTGCAATATCTCAAATCGCGCGTCTTCCGTTACCAACCTGCCCCTCCACGTTGTAGGGCCCTCTCCCTTAGTCCTCCGCGTTCTCCTTATCTCTTTTTCTCTTTTTCTCGTTCGCAATGCACCGCGCGATGCCTGAGCTGTGTGGCTCAACAGCCGGTGATTATGTTGCAGCGCGGGTTACCAATACGTGCGCTGTTATGCACATTGGTAACTCGACTCGTGACTCGCGATCTCGAATAGGCCGCAGGGGCCCCCGAGATTCGCGCTGGAACCTCTCAGGGAAATCCCTCCTCGGAAGACGCGCGTCTACGAGGAATTCGCTGTGAATCACCGCGCAACCGAAAGACCGTCCCAACATACGTCAGAGCTGCCGAGTGTGTAGCAACATTGAGAATTTCACTTGCGGAAGAAGTACCCGCATTCGTCACAGACCGATCGTCTGTCCGCTAGGCTTCCTGACGCCGCGCCGGTGAAACCGGCTCGCCGAGACTCCTTCATGGAAAATGCGGGGAATCCTTAGAGTTGTCCTTATCGCAGAGAGAATCGAAGATCATAACAGACCGTGACTTGTAATATATTATATATAGATATGCATTTTTTTCGATGTAACGAAAACCGATAAGGAACATTAGAGTAAAAAGTTACAAGAAACTTGGAAATAGATGAAGGAAAAGGGACACTAGAGAAAATAATGTCAACAAGTATATGTAAGCAAATAGAAGGGAAACTCCTTGTTTTGGAAATTCCTTTTTTTTTCAGCACAGTACATTTTTTGGATATTTAAATTTAAACATTTCTTTTTGAATCAAGTTAATTATAATTAATTTAATGGTAATTTAAAAATTGCATAAAAAAATGTATTTTTAAACTAAAATATTTTATATGAACCGTTGGTCACAAGCAAAACATAAACAATCCTCGTATTCACGCCACTTTGATCCTGAAAAATTGAAGGATCATAATTTTGAACATTTTTTTCATAATTTTAATATAATATAGGGAGCATTTATGAAATAATACAAAAGAGATGCAGAATTATTACAGAAAAACATTTTTATTTTAATACTGTTTACCTTTCACTAAACCACAGCAGTATAATCTTTTACAGGAGTATAAAAGTACACGCGTGTGATAATTTTACAATTACAATTTTATATCGATATCAAATTATCGGTATTTAATACTGTTCGTCTCTTATTCCATAATACATATACATATCAAAAAAATCGCAGAAATAAGCTAAAATTGCATATGTAAAAACTCACAAGTAGGTTCCATGCAAATCACATGTTCCGATATCTTAAATTGCATCAGTCACATTATATGCCAATTAACATATGTAAATTTCAACAAGTACACGCCTTCCGTCGCTCGTAATTATCTCAAAGCTTTTTGCTTATTTCTTTGCGAAAAAATGATATCACTTTGATTGAATAGATTGAGAACAAATTCTCGTTACATGCTGCACATAAACAGTTCGGAATAAATACCTGCATAAATAAACGGAGATAAATAAATAAATAAATAAATAAATAGATAAATATAAGTGAATGGATAGATGCTGACGAAAATAAATAGGCGAGATGGTACAAGATGTATGCGATAAATAGATAATGTGCGTCAATCGCGGCGGATATTCATGATTCACTCTTGCAATTATCATTATCCATCTAAACGACGCGCGTGATGAATGCGCGATGATAATTGCACTCGGGTACGTGCTACGTGCACGTCTGACCGGATTTAACACTACCTGAGCGATTGGTTGTGATCGAGTACGTGTTTTATCACATTGTTTGGCAACAACACGGCCGAGAGAATCTATAAATACCTAAAGCGTAAACAATAATTTCTTATTCCTATTAGGCGACGTTACACGTCACGGCACTTGAATCGGTATCTTATATACTATCCGAGAGATGCTTAGACATTGCAATTCGACACGAGGCCCGCAGAAAGGTCTTGGAAAAAAAGACTGAACGGAACTGTGGTAATTTTGTACCACAATCTCTGCTTCTCTTTCAGCATAATTTCATGCACCAAAAAAATTCTTGCTATTTATCCACTAATTTTTCCTTTCTTTCTCTTATGACACTCTGAATTTATTTTAAAAGTGAATTGTAAATTTTTAGGAATCTATGTTAATTTGCTTTGCTACCTATCGACTCTATCATCTTAATTTTAATTTCTATTGTTTTTGGTGTTACATAATGATGTCGAGAGGGACGGTCGCGATTTAGTTGGCTACGCATGTGTATTATCGACTGCGAATGGTCTCAGAAGCGAAGGGGGCAAAAAACTGAGAAGAGACCATCTTGAGCTCGTACACGCACGCTGCGGTTCCGCTCTTTTGTAACTTTCTCCTCCCACCGTCCGACCGCAGTTCCGTAACTCCCTGTCACCGTTCTAACGTCAAACGTTTAAGTAAATCTATTAAGTTCCCGGTATTCGCGCGTCACTAGACGCAATCTTCAAACAAGTTCCTGTGTAAAGAAAAAAAAAAGAAAAAAAAAAGAAAGATGTCCATTCGTCTACGGATTGCCAATTGCAAGGTCATTCACGACAATACAGTTGCGTTTTTTGCTTGGTTTCAATCGCCGTCTCCTTCGAAGACGCGTCTAGCTCGATTCGTGCCGGTCCGAAGATCACCGCCAGTGATCGTCGCCACCGAGGCGAATTCATCACCGAAGCGAATCGTCACTGCTCCCCTGCCTCCCCCAAGTTACCCTAGCGAGTTCTCGGTGTCAATCAATGATGGATATCTCCGAGCTCATCATACTATCGAAGACCTGAAGGGCACACACGCAACCAACGTAGAGCTTCATCGTCTCCGTGTCGCCGTCGCCGTAGGATACCTCGATGTTTCTGTAGGTCTGTATGCAGCAGTAAGTGCCGGTGCCCTGACAGCTGCTGCCGATGTGATTGCACTTCACGTGCTCCAGATCCTTCGGTACCCGGGAACCCCGGGTGTCTGGGATTGACTCCACGGTGTAGTTGCAAATAGAGCTGTTCTGCGCCTGCTTCACTTCCAATTCGAAAACTTTTTCTTGTTCCCTGAATTCATCTTCGTATTGCCAGGTTACGTCTTTCGAATTAAATCTGCGATAGTTTGCGACAGTCGCAAATTTGTTGTGACGTTTTCTCCTAGCAACGAATCTCATCGGGAGCGCGTCAAAGTCGTTGTGCTTGCGCAGGAAATCCTTTCGTAAAGACTCGCGATCTCTCGAATCGTACTCGTGCTTGTATCGACGGAAGGACGTTGGTACTCGCTCCTCCGAGTCCTCGTACTCCAAGGAACGATCCAGAACTTGTGGGTATTCGCGACTTTTCTTCTGTCCTTGGAAATCGTGGTAGTACTCCAGATCGTCATCGAGACGTCCCGATAAATCTCGTGGCAGCGATTCCTCGAAATTGTAATAATTCGAATGAGAGTGATGTCCGTGTCGTCGTCTTAGACTCCGACCTTGAACGAGCGGTATGTTGACGATGACATAGGCAACAAGAACAGGCAGGCAAAATCTGACGCTGAATATCGCCATTGTGTCGATCTGATAAGTTCAAAGAGATCTTCGAAGATTGGCAGTCTTTGTCGATGGCTGTTTTTTTCTTCTTCTTCTTCTTCTTCTTCCTTGACTCTCAATAGCCTGGAATGGATCTCAGCTTCTTCCGAGATTTGCTTTTCGTCACATATAATTTTTTCCAACGCAATCTCGGAATTTCTTTTATTTTTTTAACGTTGTTTTTATCACGTTTCTTAATCACAGTGGAATAATATCTTTTCATTTAAACATCCTTCTCTCTCTATCAATGATGTCAGCTTTTCTTCCGGACACTTTTCAAGTAATAATACAATCGTGATGGAAATAAACGATTGCAATCAGAGATTGCAACCAGAACTGTGATTCAATGAGATTTTTTCAAACTTTTAACCGATCAATTTTCCCACTGAAAATAGATTATTTTCCGGAATTATATTTCGTTTATTGAGCTTTTTTTTGAAATTCAAAATCTAGCGAATATCTCAGCGAGACACTGGAAAACGTGAATACGGGACACAGTATTTGGAATCGAAATTTTTCAGGTTTGACCGACCGTTTGACGGATCTTTCGACCATGCGACGTAAGTTGACAATATTTCGACGATCTAACAATATTTTAGCCTGGATACCGCGCGATTCTCTGTGATGATTCGCCAGTCGAAGTTTGGCATGCGGTACTGACCAGCGCAAGACACGCGAGAGTCTCGGTGACTTTCGGAATTCCCGACGCGGACTTGTAAGACCGAGGGACAAGGCGATTGTCTCTCTTCGTCTCGGTTCGATCGTCTCGCTTAATGGTTTGCTCAAAACTGAGTATTCCCTGATCCCCGAAGGATTTTTTATCCTGCCTGCGAACGTGGGTGGTGTTGCCCCACTTTAACGGGGGCTTGCGCGTGCCGGTACACACGAAGACATGACTAATCCCCCCCTCTCCTTTTATCGGCATCTTGTGCAGCCCCTGCCAGGGTGCCGGGGCCGGGGCCGGGGCCGGGGCCGGGGCCGGGGCCCCGAGAACTGAGAAGAGTTTCTTCGGTCGCGCAGCACGGCACGCCGGCTTCCTCTTCTTCGAGGATGCGCGCCCTCCTCTTTGACGTCAAAGCTCGTTCCCTCTCGATGAACCTGCCGCATCTTCCTCGTCACCGCTACCGCCGCCTCTGCCGTCGCTGTCTGTTCCCTTAAACATGGATTTAGTATCGCTAGCCAATCTCGGGCATTGACGTCACACCTTGGTGTAATGCCCATCTATAGCGGAAAGAGGAGAGACCGAGTGTCTCGTGCTTCGTGGAATCTCGTCCTCAGCAATATCCTCACGTATAGCACCATGAGGCGCGAGGATGGTAATGACGATGACGATTACGCGTGACGAGAGTGCGCGAGGGGAGTTACTTCGAAAGTAGTAATGCAACGCCTTTCCCTTTTGACGTTTACTCACGGCACAATTTTCCCGCGTTGACGCTCGTGCGTCTCGGATACCACCGATCTAGTCACGCGAACGCACGTACCGGCAATTATTTCAAGGGAAAAGACTCCCGGTTACCAATTACTGTCGATTTTTTCCTACAAAACTCGGCACTTCGAGGGATTACCAGTGAGACACTATGCGGAAGGTAAAACACCGGGATTGGACCATTTCATTCCTGATTCCGCGGGCCCGCATCCTATAGATAAAGCTGCGGAAAGGCTTCATTATCTTCAGGTCAGCGAAAAGTTTGAGACGGTATTTTAGACGCTGAGAGCGATATAGGCCTGTCGTCGTCATCGCGACGCGGCTGCCAAAATATTAAAAGTCGCCACCACCTTGCGAAAGCATTTAAAATGACATTTACGTGCAAGAACGTTTGCCCCTTCCATCACTTTCCCTCTCTGAAATAACGCCGTTCTTGCTGTACGTTCGCGTGAACCAGTTGAGGTGGAATCATCGGCCACTCTGGCGGGATACCCGGACATGCCTTCGTTTTTTTTAAAAGGTCGGAGAACACACATGTCGTAAAAGCGCTTAGCATTTTCACTAACTCTTACCATTACCGTTATTTTTTTTTCGTCTAGCGTGAACATGTGTGCGCGTGTATATGCGCGAATATATTTAGACAAAAAATATCCGAAAGATTCTATAAATGTACTAATTTAATCGTTACGAATGGAGGCACGTAACATTAATAAAATGAGATTTTCTAATGCAACATAAATACAGCTAAACATATTTTTTTATTTTAAAAAATCTACTTGAAATAATCAAATTTCGATCTACTTCTCTTCAGCTATTTATTAAATTTTTCTTCATAATTTATTTGTACTACTCTATCGTTGTTTCTTTTTGTATTTGTAAAAAAATTCTATCATTTCACTTTTTCTTCATTCAAAATTGAGGTATTAAAGTTATTAAATAATAAGAATACATTAATTTCCTTTTTTTCATATATTTTCGGACTTTAGTTACAATGCCAGATGGTACCAGGATGTCGGAAAAACAGAGAGAAAGGAGAGTAAGAATAAAGCTGATCCCCGATTTCGCAGATTAGAAATTTAATATCCCAGAATAAATATTAACTTTTTCTAAGTCCGTTCATTTTTTGCAAGATCGATGTAGAAATTTGTTCTGCAACATTATTTATGTTATGGTAATGTTGTTGTTATTTAAACATGTCTTCGAATTTTTGGACGAATCCTATTTAACCGCAAAAAAATTGATATATTCGTCGACGATATTGCAAAAAATTACACGGAGGAGATCAACAATGGAACCGGTTTTCTAAATGATTAAAAAAACAAATAAAACATGCATACGGGGTATTTCGACTTTTAATTCTACATATATTTGGATTTTACATTCTATATATGTGAACATTCTATATATGTGAACACATTCTCTAAGTATTTTATTGTCATCAATTTAATCTGCTGCATTAATTTGCATTATAACGCCTGACTGTGCTATTTTTAAGTTTTTTCGGGTTTTCGGAAATGGGACGTATGTTTACGTATTTTGTACATAAAACTTTTGATATTTACTTTTATTTTACAAATATTCGATTTAAAAAGATTCCGCAAAACAGATATCAGATGTATAAATGAAAGAGGTAAAATATCAAATCTGTAAATAACACACTTCGAAATAACTCCGTTTTTGTTTATATAAATAATTCTGCCGGTAGATCGGTTCTCGTTGGGAAGCTCGCGTGTGTACCGAATTTAAGAACGGAGTACGTGGCGACCGTACAAGCTCTCTTGATGCATTCGTCCATCGGCAGCTGCGGATGATACGCCTTGAAATATGCGAACGCACCCAAAAATGCATCCCCGGCACCCTATCGCATATCGTTACACTTATTATGTAGCTGCCTGAAGCAATTCCGTCTTAAATACATGCCAATCATTTGAATGAATCACTAAGTGAATCAGCGCGTTCCAGTCCAGTCCGGAAATTGACCGGTTGTTCGCTCAAAAGATTGTGGACCGGAAAATACCATCAAATACTTTCACCGTTCCGACCGTGAGAAAGAAATCACGAATCAATTTACAAGATTTGTATAAGCAGGAAATACGGACCGTACGTGTAAATAATAGAACGAAAATTACCGCGTTAAATCTAACAAAAACTTATAGAAAGTATCTTAGAATTATCGCATAATTCTGAGACACTTCATCAAGTTATCGAATAATTAAATTATTAAAATACATGCGTCTTCAAAAGAACGATTTCTTCAATTTTGTTGAATAATGACTCAAACAATTTATCATGAAATCTATCGTGATTACGACAGTTCTATAATACTGTGTATGCAATACGTACGGTAGTATCCACAGGGTGGACTTCAGTAGTGGAAATTCGCGTGATGTTTCTGTTCATTTTCGACGCGTATGCAGCTCCGAGAGGTCCGAGTGTAAGGATGATTGCGTTGCATCCTTTAGCTAGGAACTTGTCCACTACTTGTTGTATATTCGACAGGTCCACAGGTTGAATGCCCGTCATAATTTCCGCCTACAAAAGCGTAATGGAGTCCTTGGAGTATTTCAAACGTCATAACGCTTTGACTCTACTATTTTAGAAAACAAAAATTTAAATTTGGGACATACACTGCGAAAAAGATACCTAAATATTTATTTAAAATATATTTATTTTATTAAAATAAATCTTTATTTAAATATGGCGAAATAAAATTTTTATTTCTGACAAATAAACCATCTATTTTATATTTTTACGATTAATGAGATATATTTCATAGAAATATATATTCCGTCACAATCAAATTTTTTCGTAATTAATAAGTATCGGAGGAAACATCGTAAATACAATAACATTTGTTTTACAATACTTCGACATTTTTCTCTCAAAATATCTTATAAAATTAGAGTATTCAATTCTTATATTAAAAATCGTCTAACAAATGAGATTAGACAACCCAAAAATTCAAAAAATTCTGAAACATTTTATGTGCAAATAGAATAGTTTATCCGTAACACTGAACTATTTTTTGTTCGTGCCATATTTGAGAAGGCAAAATCATCCCTTGAAAAAAATGTAGATTTTTTTGCGGAACTGCCAAACGGTGAGAGATATAAACGGTAGTTTAAATAAAAGTTGCATCTCTTCCTTATATCTACAAAGCGTATATAAGTACCGAAAAATCCGTGTTTTTTTTTTGTTATCCTCCTCTCTCTCACCAGTCTTCAAAATTAAGTTTTTGTATTTTGTGAATTTATATGAAAATACTTCTCCGTAATTTCTTTTTATACATCATAATCGATTTATTTTTTATTTATTTAAAAAAACTCAATGAATTTTTTAAGTCCGTTTTAACAGTTTTGATTATTAAAATGTGATTTTATAAAGCGATATTTAATTATTATTAATATACACATTTCAGACAGTTTTTAAAATTATTTAAGTAAGACGGTATGTGTCTTTACAACTGCACGAATTAGATTAAAGCTAATCAGTGACGTATATGAATCGTAAAAACAGCAACGTACGCATGTATTATTTGAGGTGTTATTTCATTAGATAATTTTGCAAATT